CTTATCCGGTGCCGGTGGTTCAACATCTTCTCCACTCCCTGGGCGGCGGGAAGATCTTCGCAAAGTTGGACTTAGTGCAAGCGTATCAACAACTACCCGTTGATGCGGAAAACGCAGAGGCACAGACTATCGTTACACACCGAGGTGCCTTTAAATGCAACAGACTCCAGTTTGGAGTGAGTGTAGCCCCAGGAATATTTCAGAGTCTAATGGAGAGACTTTTGCAAGGCATAAAAGGGGTTGTGCCGTATTTTGATGACGTTTTAATTGCTGCCCCTAATCGAGAAGAGCTCGAACGGCGTCTCAGACTGGTTCTGCATAGATTCAAAGACGCCGGCCTCAAGGTGAAAAAAAATAAGTGTCAACTGTGTACTGAGCGGGTGGAGTTTCTTGGGTATCTCCTCGATAAACAAGGGATTCACCCCACCGAGACCAAACTCAAAGCAATTAAAAATGCCCCAAGACCTAAAAGTAAGGCTGATCTCCAGGCCTTCTTGGGACTCATTAATTTTTACAACATCTTCTTGCCTCACAAGGCAACAGTAGCCGAACCCTTACATCGACTTCTCGACAAGAAAGCTATTTGGGTTTGGGGTCACAAAGAGGAGCGCTCTTTCAGAAAGGTGAAAGACTTATTAACCTCCGACGCTGTGCTAATGCAGTACAACGAGACTTTGCCATTAAATATTACGTCTGACGCGTCACCATTTGGGGTTGGAGCCATTTTGAGCCACGTGTTACCAAACGGGAATGAGGCTCCCATTGCGTACTTTTCCCGCACATTATCAAAGTCTGAATGAAACTATAGCCAACTTGACAAAGAGGCTCTTGCTATTGTATCGGCCGTGAAGCGATTTCACGAATATGTTTACGGGCAGCCCTTTACTCTAGTTATAGACCACAAGCCTTTACTTGGCATTTTAGCAGGTGATAAACCAACCCCGCATATATTGTCGCCTAGAATGACTCGCTGGTCAGAATTCCTAGCAGCCTACAACTACGTACTGCAGCATCGCCTGGGGAAAGCCATTCCCCACGCTGACGCTTTGAGCCGTTCCCCACTTCCGGAAACCGTCAGCGACCCAGCTCCAACCCTCACTACGCTGCAAATTGAAACTCTCAACTCGCCGCCACTAACGGCAAGGGATATCACCGCCGACACAAAACGGGACTCTATCCTCGCAAGAGTTCTCAGTTGGGTCAGTCGAAGAAACCCCCGCCACTTTTGCGCCGTTCAAACACCGGCAAACAGAACTATTTCCCCAGAAGGGCTGCATCCTATGGGGAGATAGAGTCGTCGTACCAGAGAGACTACAGCGACTCGTGTTGCAAACCCTGCACGAAGGACATCCGGGCATCGTCCGCATGAAGGCTCTCGCTCGAAGCTATGCGTGGTGGCCAGGCATCGCTAAACAAATTAAAGCCTGGGTAACCACATGTAGAAACTGCCAAGAAGTCAGCAACGCCCCACCGAGAGCAATTCCCACCGAGTGGGAAACTCCTCGAGGCCCGTGGTCCCGCATCCACATTGATTTCGCGGGACCCACTAAAGGACACACTTTTCTCCTAACCGTGGATGCTTACTCCAACTGGCTCGAAATCCACAAGATGAAAAGCACAACTACTGACTCCGTTATTAAAAAAACTAGATAGATTATTTGCAACACACGGGTTTCCGGACGTTCTAGTTTCAGACAACGGACCCCAGTTCACTGCTCTCACCTTCGAACAATACTTGGCGGACCGGGACATCCGCCATGCCTTAACTTCGCCGGCTCACCCTGCGGCAAATGGTAGGGCGGAACGGATGGTCCAATTCGTTAAAAAGACACTACAAAAAATGGATCCGGGGGACATTGACGCTAGATTGAACAAAATACTCTTACTACAGCACATTACCCCCCACAGTGTCACCAACAAGACTCCAGCCGAACTTTTAATGGGGCGGAAGCTTCGCTCCCACCTCGACCGATTACACCCGTCGTATTCGCCAGAGAAACCTTGTGGATCCAGCGGAACGTATTGCCAATTCAAGGTAGGCGACTTGGTCTACGCCAAAAACCTTTCCGGCGAACCGTTGTGGGTCCCAGCCACCGTAGTCTACCTCACTGGCCCTAGATCTTACTGCCTTAAGACGACAGATGGCAAGATATGGAAACGCCACATAGATCAACTTCGATCTCGTTTACAACCCAATATCCGCGACCCCCCGGACTTCCAAACTCAAGGGGGAGGGAATACCGAGGGGGATGAAGGCCGTATAGACGACGACGTAATCGAGGACAGACGGCCGCTAAACCGAGTACTCGCGCCACCTGAAGAAGGTCCGGGATCGGGAGCATCCTCCCCACAGAGGAACACCGTAGTGGAAACATGCCCGCCCGATCCAGGAATGGACTTAAGGGACCCTGATAGTATCGAAAACAGCACCGCGGAATCAACCCCATGTGAAGACGAGCCTTGCGTTCCGCCGGAACCGAACTTTAAACAAAAACCGGTGGAACAGCGAAAATCGAATAGGCAGGTAAAACTACCTGCATACCTACGCGATTACGTCACCACGGCCGTCAAACGGAACCCAGGGGGGAGGGGTGTTGTGAACTAAAGAAATGTAATTAATAAAGATTCATTTGCATAGCAGGATCGTAATCCTGCACTTCCTATTGGCCCATATAATGGCAAGTTATGATTGGTTCATTCCAAGCAATCTGATTGGCTATTAGCGGGCTGAGTCCCATTGGATGAGGTTCAAACCCTATAACAACATCCATTGGTCATCCGGATAGCAGTTCACTCTATAAAAGGGCGGCTGCTAACCGGGGGTTTTTGGTCTCTGTTATGCTTGTGAATAAAGAGCTGAAGTTCACGGTTTACAGTCTGGTCTCCGTTCATTAAACCCATGCACAAACAATAAGGCTGTATTCTGAAATCCTTGAGTGTTGCAAATGTTAAAGAAACAGGCTGTCAAGCCCGAAATTGACATAAGAGTTTTCCCTGAGTGGAAAAGGAGAAGATACAACATATTTTAGGATATGGGGTCCCCAATTCCCAGTCTGCGGCTCACTCCCAGGCCACGGCTCATTCAGAACTGGACCGAGCAAGTGGCGGGTGAGCAGGTGTGCTTTTGCAGCTCCATTTGTGCAAATGGTGGGTGCACATGACCCCTACTTGCACAAATTAAGTTGAGCATGTTCACATGCATGCTTGCGGCTCACACAGAACCATTCCTTCACCCTCACTGGTCCACCAAGCCACTGTTTAGGGCAGGGGTCTTCAAATTTGACAGCTTTAAGACTTGTGGACTTCAACTCCCAGAATTCTTCCTCCAGTCATGTTAGCTCAGGAATTCTTGAAGTCCACAAGTCTTAAAGCTGTCAAGTTTGAAGACCCTTGGTTTA